GATATCGTGTTTCACAAGTTATTATAGTTCATGGATGATTTTCTTGTAAATTTTGGACCAAAACAAATCGTATTGTGAGAGATATGTCATTCCGGAGTGCAGTGGACACTGCATGTGAAAGTGCATGTTCAGACGAATCCGAGCCTTCAGAAATCGAGGAAATTGACCTAGCCAGTCCCAACATACGAGCAGACGTTCCCTCGATACCCTCGGGGACTGTAAAGTGCTGGTTGGAGCAAGATATGTAGCTTTTGTTGCTGCTTATTATTGTTGTCATAGTTGAGCCTGGCATAGTTTTCAGACATTTTCTGTTCGTAGTATGCGTTTTCAAAACTCTTCTATCTGCCGTACAACGGGGTCCGGTATTTTGAGAGAAGATGGGAATCAGCCCTTTTGCTGTGTGGTCCACTGAAATAGTATAGTCTGCGGTAGAAACCTTGTAGCTATGCTAACACTAAGCCGTGCATCTAGACTCACTAACGCTGTAATCTTTGACGCGTGGCGTGTTGACTTGAAAGCAGTTAGCTCAACCTCTCAGGAACATCCAATAGCGCCGCCGTTTGACACGCGACGTGTATGTCAGAATGCATGTCGGTGCCACCTTGTGGGTTGTTCAATCGCATCGCTTTTTATCTCGTGACATGTTTGTCAGAACATAGTCGGCGCCATCTCGCGGTCACTCCAATAGCTCCGCATATTGACTCGTGATATGTTGGTCAGAGTACAATCAACCCATCTTGCCGGCACGACCACTGTGTTGGATGTGGTGAACAGTACTTCCGTATACACTTCGGAAGGAGTTCGTCATTCAAGAAGCAGTGTTTTCGAACTATCGCGTGTCCGTGTTGTGTGAGAAAAAACAATGCCGTAGTAAGTTGATGTGCAGGATAATTTGCTTCGTTGAGTACAGCGAGGGTTTCGGATCTGTACATATTTATGTTGAATAACGTGACGAACAACTCGTCCGTCTATTGAAAATAGCTAGGGCTTCCTATATTTGCTATGATGGTTGATGGTACGATAGGGGAAATACGGCATGGTACGTATGATGCAGAATCGTTTATTGCTGCAAAAAGCAGGTTGTGCCCATGACCGTCATGTGAATGGATGTGTGCACGATATTTGGAAAGAGTGAATTCCGTGTTATGGAGTATTTAGTTTTCGTCGTTGGCAAAAATGGAGCGGTACACGACGTTCTGGGTGTAGATTCCTTCGAATCCGGGGAACTTGCCGTCCCGCACTAACACAGAGATTCCAGCCTTGGTTTTGGCTCGAGACAGTGCAACATACAGTTGTCCGTGAGAGAACACCGGGCTTGGCAAGATAAGTCCCACGCGACTTAACGTTTGGCCCTGAGACTTGTTGATGGTCATAGCAAATGCCAACTTCACTGGAAACTGGCGTCGCTTCAACGTGAAAGGGAGGTTGGATTGGCTGCCCTCGTCGATCAAGGTGATGCGCGGTACGAAGACTCGCTTGTTGTCAAATGCGCCGCCCATGATAGTTGCCTCAATGCACTTGGTTGACACTTTGACAACCCGCAATCTTGTCCCGTTGCACAGGCCCTGTGAGGGACAAATGTTGCGCAAAAGCATGACTGGATATCCTACCTTGAACTCGAGCTTGTGCGGTAGCAAGCCGGATATGTTGATGGAATTCAGGAACTCGGAGGAAAATTCCATGGCCGTGTCGTCAACATCCTCGCCTTCTTGCTCGACTAAATCGGCTGAGAGGCAAGTGAACATGGTAGAACTGTTCATCTTCCGCAGCACTTTGGCGTTGTATTCATCGACCCTGACGTTCTTGGGTGCCAAAATCGCTCGTTCAGACATGTACTCCGCGGGGTTGGCCTGGTTATTGATGTCGCCATAGATTTGGTCGATGTACGCGTTCAGGTCTTGGTCGGTTTCCAGTTCCTGGCAATTGTATCCGGCAGTCAGATCATGGAGCCGTAGATGACTTGTTCTGGATACGTTCCGTTTCCAATGTCAACCAACGTCTTGGCCCATTCCTCGATACTTGCGTCGTCTGATCCACCACACAGCCGCATGTTCTTTGCCAGCTTGACAATTTTCACGTCGTTCCAGATGCTTCTGCGTCTGAAGGAGGCCTCCACAGTGGTCCATGGTGTGCCGCGTGGAATGATTGACAGGATTTTCTTGAAATCGCCCGAGAAAACAACAACGTTGCCGTCAAACAGGGCTGTGGGGTTGTCTATGATGTCGCGAAGGGAACGGTCGACGGCCTCCAAGGCATGCTGGATCATTGAGACCTCGTCCCATACAATGAGCTTGGTGTCTCGAATGATCTTTGCCAATGACGACTGCTTCGGAATGTGGCATAGGGACTTGTCGTTGAGGTTGGTGACGGGGATTTTGAATCGCGAATGCGCCGTTGTGCCGCCCATAAGCAGCAAAGCTGCCAGTCCAGACGATGCCACAGCAAGCGCGATGCCCCCTTTGTCGCGCACTTTTGCCAACAGGATTTGAGAGACGTACGACTTTCCTGAGCCTCCTTCGCCTTGGAGGAAGTACGCCTTGCCTGATGCGTGATCGTATACTTGGGCCAAAACGGTGGCCAGAAAGGACCTGTGCTCATCAGTCATGGTCGCAGCAGTGGCCAACACATCGTCGAGGGCTGCACGCGTGTACGACGTTTCAATGACATAAAGCCGACTTCTTGGATCGTCCAGTAGTTGCCGTTCGCCCAAGTCTCGGAATACTTCGAAGTCGTGGAGTTGAGGTAACGTCGGGTAGTCCAAAAGGCTCAACCAATGGTGTTGGAAGCAGTTGTCGATGCTCTTGAGTGTGTAGAACATCGCCTTGCCAAGCATCATGTCTTCCCTGAGCGGCTCTTGGAGTGTTTCGTTGCAGCGGCGCAGGTCCCGAAGCCGCTTGTCCATGAAATATGCTTCGAATTGGTCAAACAGAGCTCGCATGTTCGCTGGCAGGCAATGCACCAAGATATTGGCAAACAGTTCGTGCAGCTGTCCGTCCATGCAGTCCAACGTGGCTTGTCTTATACATACCACATACTCTTCGTCGTTTTCCCACAGGCCGGCCCATGGACAGTGCAGCTTCTTCGTACGTTGGATACAGAGTTCCGTGAACTGTGCGCAGATCTTCGAAGGAAGTTGGTCCATACTTATGGCAAAGCAGGGTTCGAATGTAGAACCGCTCCTTTTGACGCGGACTGACCGAATCAATGCGGCCAATGACCTTGATGTGGTTCTTGCGTCCAACCCACAACTTGGTCTTTTGGTCAAATCGGAAGTACTACGGGAAGTCCAAGTACAGGCAGTTCTTTGCAGGAACACCGTCGATCCCTGTCAAGCCTTGCGCGCAAGCGACGAAGAAGGAGATCAACTTGGTCGTTTGGTTCCTGGCAACGACCGATTCTGCGTCGTGGGTTTCGTCGTAGGTGCAATGCTGTTGATCTTTCTCGTGCACGGGCAATACTTCGACAGCGTGGGACATCCTTTGCAGGTCGTAGCAGCGGATGCGTGTGATAGCTTCGAGGGAGGTCACGTAGCGTCCTTCAACATACTCCCGTGCTTCGTCAAGCTTGGGCTGGCGTTCCCGGTCGGTGAAGACTGCGTACGTGATCCGATCGCTGCCCTTGTACACGTACTTGTACAGATACTTGACGTCCTTCATGCTTGTGCAAACCTCGACGTTGAGGTGGCAGTTGTACTTGTGCACCAAGTACGGGCTGTGTGGCACACAGTACTGGTCTGCGGCCGTGTCGCGACGGTACTTGGCATATCCATCGACCCCCTCGGTTGTGGTAGCTTGCAGGGGCTGCGGAAAGCCTTTCTTGTCGGTGCAAGCCCTCGCACTTGGAGTCGGCTGACCATTGTCGTCGTATTGCACATGCGTGCACGTATGGGTCATGAAGTTCTTCACTGACTCGTGCAGCTGGGGGTTCTTGATCTCGTCTGGGATGCGCGCGGATACCACAAAGTTGATGTCTTCGACGGTCCTGAACTTGTCTTGGTCTTCCATGATGAGGAGCATGTGCACATGTGGCAAGCCACGCTTTTGAAACTCCTCAATACGCACAGATGCGACAACCTTGCCAAGGACGTGTTTCTTGTGGATATCGTCCTCGAAATACGTTAGCTTCGACTCAAACACGCATGTGACAATGTCATCGCGTTCAGTTGATGTTTGATGGGGCTTGAGTTGACTGATGATCTCCGGCCAATTGTGGTTGCACGTCATGGTGACGAAGAGGCATGGCTTCGAGTACTTGTGCACAATTGACATGGCTTTGAAGTAACATTTCTTGGATTAATAGTGTGAGTGTACTGAAAATTTAATCAAGCACTTACTTAATTTTTCTATGAAAACTCATTGTGCCATGTGGCTCAGTGGTTGAGCAGATAGAGTGCGCTGGGACCTTAGTACGACTACCGGTATATCCCCGCCATTCGGTTGAAACTGCCATCTAAAAATAATTCACTTTTTCTCTATCTTTGTCAAGTTGCCAACACACTGGCAGTCGTAGTATATAAAGCCAGCTACAAATGTCATAATAAAAAATGCTACGAAAGCCAGCGAAGACTACCGAGCGTTGTCAACCAACTACGTCGAGACATCCATGTGAACCCACTGTAACAACGAAGCGACGACATGATCTTGGTAACGTCTCTACAGTCCATGCACAGCTGCGAAGTGTACCACTTGACAGACGAACGCTGGTTCCGTGGCAAGCACCAATTCCAAGTGCATTGGGCGCGGCCGGAGTTATTGGACAAGTCGACACCGTGGGTTCCGGCAAGTTATCTATCCACATGCATTGAAGCGCTTGGTAGCTACCATCGTTGGAAAGCCTTTTTCCAATCAAAGAGGTGAAAATTTTTATCTTTTGCGAAATTTCGCAGCTATGACGCACATTGGCTTGACTTTGTAAGCAACGCAACGAACACTAGCTTGATAGCGGCATTTCGCATTGCAGTAACGCTGTTAAATGTACCGATAAATGTCTCGGATCGCCATATGGGCGAGTTTATGGCAAACTACAAGATTGACGCCAACGACGAGATCCCACCAGCGGCGTTGCGTTCATTTATCCACGTTTTGGGCACCAAGGGCTTTCGCTTTTGCCACCAAACCTTCGCCGAACACTTGCTGCTGGATCTCACTGGCAACGCACAGCTGAACTTGTTTGCAACGATCAAATGTGGGATCGAAGGTGTCTACTTGTTAACAACTGTCACCGACAACCTTGCACATTACTGGGTTGTCCATTACGATGGCCTGCAAACGAAAGTTATTGACAGCGCCGGCACAGTCCCATTGGGGAAATTTCCCATGTGGACTATATTCGAACGATTCGACGCCTGTCCCTCTTTAAAAAGCAACGATGCCACAAGCGCAACTCAGAATAGAACAGGATATCCCAATTATGTGTATAAGATTCATGCCCACATGCCCTATAACTACTTATCGTCTTAAACTATGGTGATCGTAATGCCGATATCACTATTGCATGCGAATGCGGCATGTGGTACTCTAGGTACCTCATACAGCATTCGCGTGCAACTCATCACATTGCACGCACACACAGAGGTACTTCACAAGCATCGCATTTCGCGGCCCGCACCTAATGCTATGGTGCGTAAGTATACCAAGCCACAAAGCTAAGTTGTACATCATACATCACATCACCTACTAAATGCCTATGTATTGTGTGGTCACACAGCTTGGGCATTGCGTCTCAATGTCCAAGCCGCAAAGCTGAGCAAAACCAACTTGAAGCAATTTGTAGGGTTTTTCGTGATTTTACCCAATCAAATGCAACAGGCCACCTGGCCTACGATTTCCGATGACAATACATTAATTGTATGTTAACAGTCCGCGAGACCATCGAGGACCGCCTACGAATTTGTATCAATTTTCAGGGGGAGTTGAGTGACAAAAAACCTTTACCACTTCCAGTGCATTCAAAATCAATTCATACAAGTATTATTCGGAAGCAGGTTATTAGACAACGATATCCGTAAGAATGCTCTGGTCGTCGTCGCTTTCTGCATCGTCACTTGACTCGTCCTCTCCAGGCAGCGCGGGTTCATTAACAGCTTCGTCGGCAGCTTCCAGCTCGACAAGGTATGCACTGAGTTCAGACACTTTCTTCTTCGTATGACTGATGCATCGATAGATCACGTCACTTGGTACGCCCTCCAACGCAATGTCCAACCGCCGCCGGACATCCTCCATCGTCGTCTCCGTGGTATATTGCCGGCCGACGATCCCCTTCACGTAAGCCCAAATGTACTCGATTGGTTGCAGATCTGAATGGTAGGGTGGCATGTAAACAACCTCATATCCACGGGAGCGAGCAAGCGCAACGACTTCGGGTACGACATTCTCCTTAATGTACGCTTGCAGCTTCGCCCATATGACCGTTCTGTATTCAACTGCCGTAGCTTCAACGCCAA